AAAATAAATAATTGAAATTGTATGTAAATATAACATATAAAATTTATGTGTAAGTAAATTTTTATTTTTTAGAAATATGAGTATGTAAATTCATTTTAATTTATTAAATAATAAATATCAAATATCTTATTATTTATTAACAAAAAATTATAATAATTGTTAACTATTTTAAACAATTAAATTAAAAAATTAATATTTTAAAAGAATTTTCTAACCTATGCCCTTAGGGTAGTATAAGTTAAACCTTATTTATTGCAATATCATTAATTAATTTTGTACAAATTTTTGTAAAAGATTTAAACATAATATAATATAATATTCATACTCAAATTTTGTAAAAAATTATGAACTTGATATAAAAATTGATATAAAATTAATTAAAGATATCTAATTAATTAGTTTTAACCTATGCTTTTAAGATTAATGTTAGACAAATTCTATTTAAAAAAAGAAAAACAAAATTTAAAAATTTAAGTACCTAACAATTTATTGGATTACCATTAGAGTTCCCAATCAACCCACCTCAATTAATGTCCTAAACTAATAGTAGTAAATATTGTTTGACATTTTAGTGTGCACGGAAATCCAATACTATTAATTTACTATAGTTTACTTATTATATGGTTTGTTTAATATGTGCCCGTAGGATATAAGTTAAAAGTACAGTAAATATATTATTTTATAATTAATTCATATAAAAAATCATAAAAATTAACATATATTTTAATACCACTAACGTGTGAATAACTTTAATTGGTTAATTGATTAAATTGAAATTCATATTTACACTTTTAGTAAAAATTAATTACAAAAAATGCATTTATTACATTATTAACTCATAGCATAAAGATATAGGCATCTTAGGATACGAGTTAAATTTCATTAATTATATTATTTGTATTTAAATTTATACAACATTTTATTTAAAATTTAAATATAATATAATATATATTAATATAATATAATATTGATATTCAAAATTTATAAATATATATATGAATCTAATATGAAAATTTATGTAAAATTAATTAAAAATATCATAATTAATGAGTCTTAACATGTACTCTTTGGGTATAAATTATATAAACCCTATTATTTTTATCAAAATCTTAGTCATTTTAGTGCCTCTTTATAAATCATCTTCATGATTTAAGTTTTAAGATAAGTTATTAAGAAAACCAATTTTTTTAAATATATTAGACTGATTTGAGAGATATGTTCTTAAAATTTTTTTAAAAATAATTAGTTTCAAAATACATAAAATCTAGCTAAAAAATACACCAACTGTAATTATATAAAAAAAGACTAGCAATTAATTTATTTTGATTAATTCCACCGTCCAGTCACCACCGGCAGCTTACTTAAAAATAAAAAATTATTACTAGATTACAGATCTTACACTTTGTTTATGGGAAGTGTAGGTTGCAGCTCATCAGGTTCATAAAAAAACCAATAATTCAACATGGCATTTTTCATAGCCATATATATGTCTGACCTAGAACTAATTAAGCTAAGGAGTACATAGCATCATTGTTTTTATTTTTTGATGGGACCATCAAATATTAACTATTCGGTCATCTGTTACCACCCATCCAAATACCCCTTACCTAGCTGATCCAATCTAGAGTTAAAATAAACAACCAAGCATTTGGTGCATTTCCATTTGACAGAAATTATAATTTCATCCAATTAGTGTAATTTTTACATTTTCCTTAAGAATTTGTCTATCATGTGTTCTAAGATTAATGGTATATTAATTATGAGATTAGTGTGTATGAGTCTCAATTTTTAGAAAAATTAAAGTCTTAATTTATATTTAAAAACTGAAATCTCAATTTAAAATTTAAAAATTCAATCAATTTATAAATCTAAATATTAATATTTAATAAGATAAATTTTTAAATTTTAAATTAAGTTTTAATTAAATAAAATGATATAATTTAAAATTATAATTCTATTTATTTTTTTAGAGCTGGGATTGATATATATTTTTTCATTAATTATTTTTTTATAAATAATTTATATAAAAAAATAAAAAGTTAATTTAAAATTTATTAATTATCTAATTAAAATTATTTATATAATATTAATATTAAAAATAATATTTATATTTTTTATCATAATTTACTATATATTATAAAAAAAAGTTAATTAATATATTCTTAACTTATAGTTACGGTAGTTACGATAGATATTAAAACTAATTAGAAGGAAGTGGCTGGCGGGCATAAGATGAGATGGAATCTGAATGTCAACTAAAGGCCATAGTTATGGCCACTGACACTTTTCAACGCCACATTGTATGCATAGTAAATTTATTTGATTTGATGGATGTTGTTAATAGTATATTTGAATTGGGAGTAAGAGAGGAAATGGGTGAGTTTTTAAATTAATTAAATTATAATTTTTTAAATATTATAAATTAATTAATTAAAATTTTCATCTCTTTTCTTTAATTTATTTTTTTAAGATTAAATATATTATAATTTATAATTGATTAAAATATTTTAAAATATTATTATATAATTTTAATTGTAAATCGTTAAATAATAAATTTTAATTATTTTATAAACTATTAATTTGCAGGAAAAAATACATATAAGTTTTTATTCTTAAAATAAATTAGAATTTTAATATTAAATTACATCATTTTATTTAGGGTTAAAGTAAATTATAGTCCCTCTACTTTCAATTTCCATTCATTGTCCTCCATATACTTATGAGTCATTCAAAGTCCTCCCTCTACTCCTCCAAACCGTACTATTGTCCTCCCTCTACTTTAACTTTTCATTACATTTACCTCCCTCCTCCTCTAACACCACCCTAACACCATTATAATTCCCATTTAATGGACCATTAAGTGCACTATATTTTTTTTTGTTGAATTGTGTTTATGCATGGGCCCTACAAAAATCCATGTCAACAACCCAAAGTTTGTCAAGGTGTTAGGTGCAATAACAATCTAATTTATTCAAATATCAATTAAGATTAATACCATTTCTTAATGGAGTATATAGAGATTTGTTTACCATTTTATATATATATATATGGTTTTGCTTGATTTGTTTAAAGAAAATATAATTTGGTTGTATTGTCATAAATTCATGGTTTATGACTTTGTTATTAAATCGTTATAATATATATATAAGTGTTTGTTAGTTGGATCTCTAAAAAAATTAAGAGAAAAAATAATCCAAAACTACATTATTTCTATAAACTCAAATTGAAAAAGACTAAAATAACTTATTTTCAAACCAAGAATGAGTTTGTTTTGATTTTTTTCTATAGCACTTTTATGAAATGATGTAGTTTTGATTTTTTTTTTCTCCTAATTTTTTTGAGATCTAGTTGATAATTAAACATTGATTTTAACTCTAAGGGTTAGATTCACAGGTAAATTAATACCATCTTGTAGGTCAAATTCAAGATTCAAGTCTTGAGACTAACACCTAAGGAAATTAATTTTCTTGAATGCACAAGACCGATGTGGGGGGTGTGTTCCTAAAATTGTCCAGGAGAAATTAGCCTTAAGGTGCATAAAAATGATCTTAGGACACTTTAACCGTAAATACTAAAAAAAAGGACAAACACTAATATCATATTTGTTAATGCTTTATTTAATATATTGAATGAAGTTCTTTATTATGTGTTTCTTGTTTCAAGAACATGGGGTAGTTAAAATCTTGCTTTTTGAGTACATAATATATTTAATCAATTCACATAATTTGAGTTTCTAAATTTGAGCATTGATATTGAATGTTTGTATTATCGTTTTTTGTTTATGAAAGGGTATCATTGAAATCTTTAGTTTTGATATCATTGCTAATATCATTCTCTTTTTTCCTTTGTCTAAAAATAAGGGGGGTATGTAGATTAATTGCATGGTGCAAGTACATAGATTAATAACATAAAATAATTTCAAGAGACAGTCAACCTAACTAGCTGCTTCCATGTCCATTCTAAAGGTTAAAAAATGAAAAGAAAATAAGTGTTGAGTTCTAGTTCAAATAATTCATTCATAAAGAACAAGTAGAAAAAATATCATTTTCTATATATGTTGTAATTATTTCATAAAAATTTAGCAAATACTTTTTAAAACTAAATACATATATATAATCGTTTTTATAAATTTTCAATATTTTTAGTAAATACCCTTGACATAAAGTTTTATGGGGTTCATAAACACAATTTGACAAAAAAAATAATAAACTATTGCACTTAATGGTTTGTCAAATGAGAGTTATAAACGGTGTTAATTAAGGTGTTGTTAGGGGAGGGAGGTAAAGGTATGGAAAGTTGTAGTAGAGAGAAGACAATAGTGTGGTTTGGAAGAGTAGGGGGAGGACTTTCACCGATTTGTAAGTATAGGGAGGACAATGAATGAAAATTGAAAATAGAGGAACTATAGTTGGATTTAACCATTTTATTTAATTAAAACTCAATTTAAAATTTAAAATTTTATTTTATTAAATACTAATATTTAGATTTGAAAATTGATTATATTAAAATATATAATTGATTCTAAATTTATGTATCTATATTTAATAAAGTGAATTTTTAAATTTTGAATTAAAATTTTAATTTCTAAATGTAAGTTAAGATAGATTTTAATTTTTTTAAAAGTTGAAATAGATACGGATTAATCTTTAATTCTAATTATTAATATTTTTTAATATATTAAATCATAAATTATATAATAAAAATAATTATTTCTTCTAAAATCCCACTTTACCCATATTAAAGACTGAATTTAACATCTCCAACGTAAAAATTTAAATTCTAGCACAACTCTCAACCGTTACTTACTGTTAAACTAAACAACCCTACAATTTTAGTATGCTCTAACAAAACGTGTGTGGCCATAAGCATTCCAACTGGAGCATTGAACCAACGCTACGTCGTCTTCTAAATTAGACCATTTTTCCCCTAAATTATCCGTCCGTCACTATTTAAAGCCCAAATCCCCAGCCTCGAAAAACACAGTTTCTTCTGCTCAACTCCCAGGGAAGGAAAGGACAGAGAAAACAGAGCGACGGCAAACGTTACCGATTACAAGCGAATTCGGAATCTGGTGAGAGAGAATCAACGAAGATGGTTGAGTGCTTGGAGTTGGAGAGATTCGTGCAGGATAACGATGTCGAATCGAAACCGGTTGATGACATCTCGAGTATTTGCAAATCCCTTGACCTCAAGGGGAGCATCGATTGTGTTTGCGACGGTTCAGGAATTGCTGCCAAGGATTTTGGCGGAATGCAGTCCGTCCGGGCGTTGGCGTTAATTAGACCGGCCGGAGCGGAGGACGTGGCCCTTATCGTCAAGGCGGCGGCGCTGTCACCCAACCTGACGGTGGCGGCCCGAGGAAACGGCCACTCGATCAACGGCCAGGCGATGGCTGATGGCGGCCTCGTAATCGACATGCGGTCCACTAAGGAAAATCATTTTAAGCTTCTGACAATCAATGGCTCTCCCTATATTGATGTTTCTGGAGGGGCATTATGGGAGGACGTCCTCAAACGGTGCGTTTCTGAATTCGGCTTGGCTCCGAGATCGTGGACCGATTACCTCAACTTAACGGTGGGCGGAACGCTATCCAACGCCGGCATCAGTGGTCAAACCTTCCGTTACGGACCTCAAACGTCCAACGTGACGGAGTTAGAGGTGGTAACCGGAAAAGGAGATATAATAACTTGTTCAGAGACTGAAAATTCGGAACTCTTCTTCGGAGTCCTCGGCGGTCTCGGTCAGTTCGGAATCATCACCAGAGCGAGAATTTTGCTCCAGCCAGCACCAGATATGGTCGGTATTTTCAAAAGAGTTTTTTTTGTTTTGCACTAAAACTGCAGAACATGGAACGGACAGATGGGAATAGCCCTACTGTTGGGAAGCCCTCGCTTAATAATTTATTATGTAATTTAACACAATTTAGATTATTCAATAACTTTTTTATTTTATCATTACCAAAAAGAATATTTTAAACCCTTTTTATTGGCGATTAATTTCTACTTTTTTTTTCTTCTTTGGACACTCATTTCGTGTTTAATAATATTGATTAGGCGAGGTGGGTAAGAGTGGTATACGCCGATTTTGAGGACTTCAGTCGGGACGTAGAGTTTCTCGTGAGTCTGCCGGCCGGCGAGTCGTTCGACTACGTGGAAGGTTTCGTGTTGGTGAACAGTGATGACTTGGTAAACGGGTGGCCGCAGGTGCCAATGGATCCGACCCACAAATTCGATCCGACTTTAATCCCTCCGAACACCGGCTCCGTCCTGTACTGCATCGAAGTGGTTCTTAATTACCGCAAAACCGACCCCCCCTCAACTGTTGACGAGGTAAATTTTTTTAAGTACTACTATTTATTCATTCTTCTCATCATAGTCCCATACATTACGCATTACCATAACATCATATATCCATCGGCTTAGTGCATGTAAAGATCAACGTGAAAATGGATTTGGCGTCTCGACGGAATTAGAAAGTGTGGGGGAGGAGGATAGGGGTGCACAAAATGCCTAAGTTTGACCTTTCTTAGTGGGCCCCTTGTTGAGTTGTTGACCATGAACCTTTGTGGGTCCGGCCTCAAACTCTATATATAACCCTAAAGGGGAAAGAAGGTCAAAAAAATAACTTGCATGTATATGGTGCATCTTTTTCCTCCCTAAAACCTAAATTAAATTTAAGAAATTGGCTCTCTGTTTGGTTCATTTTGGTACGGATATGTATATACTGATAGAATCCTACAGCATACGGTATACAGTGCATCTTCCATTTGGATTTTCTGTCGGGGAAGTTTTGGGAAATGCACATCCTCTTGGTACTAAATTACGAGAATGGCTTTTTATTAAGGTCTCTGCCTTGCATGTGTTTTTTTTTATAAAAATATTATTTTAGCATTTAAACTATAAAATAAAAGGTAATTAAATCAAAAAAATACCTTAAACATTAAAAAATTTATTTTTATTTAATAATTTAAATTTTACCATTTAATGCAATATAAATTGCATAACATATTTTTTGTTTTTAAATTTGCTTTTGAAATATTAGGATTTTCCTTTTAAATATAGGGAAATTGGGGGAACTGAAAATTTTATTAAATTATTGATGGAAGAAAAACTCTCAACTAATAAAACTTAAACACTTAGATTTAAAGACGAACTATTAACTTAATAAATTGGAATCTCGAAATATTAGGAGTTTGTTAAGGTTAAAATGGTGGGAATGTACAAGCAGAACTTGCAGAAGCCTTAGCGTTTATGTTTGAGATTTTGCTGACGTTTTGGTCCACCCCAGTCCCACAAATGGCCCAAAATGCAATCATCTTCTGGAATCTGTAATTCACAAAATAGCATGTTTCTCTGTTTGACGACCCAAATGACGCAATTACTCATGATGATGTTCCTAGTACTTTTTCCATAGGCCGTGAGTCGATTGCTTGGACAGCTAGCATTCGTCAAGGGATTGAAGTTCGAGGTGGACGTGAGCTATGCGGAGTTTCTGTTGCGTGTGAAGGCTCAAGAGGAAGTCGCAAAGGCCAACGGAATATGGGACAATCCTCACCCTTGGCTGAACCTCTTCATCTCAAAGTCCCACATTGCTGATTTTGACCAAGCGGTGTTTAAGAAATTGGTGAAGGATGGAGTCGGTGGACCCATGCTGGTGTACCCTATGCTGCGAAACAAGTAAGTATACCTCTCCTTGTCCCACTACTTCAAGAGTCTCGCTAGTAAGCTCTATATATTTATTGAATAGCATTCAGTAACAACACTTCAGTACTATTAGAATTCATCATATTACACTTTTTGTTTGTGTAGATCAAACTAAAAAAATATTATTATCATGAAAAACAAAACTATGATAACATTTATAATCAGTTATGTGAGCTATCTTTAGAGTAAAGGTGTAAAAAAAGATATAAATTTTATAATTATTTTATTTAAAGATATTAACTTAATTAATTTTTCTATAAGGATGTCAATTTTTAATATTTTTTAGTTAAAAATGTATTTTTTTAATTTTTTTTATTTAAATATATTAATTTTTAATATTTCGTTTAAGAAATTTATTTGTCACATTAGCATCTATATCCAATTAATCATTAAATAAAAAAAATTTTAAATTAGTATTCATAAATAAAAAAAAAGTTGAAAGTTGACATTTTTAAATGAAAAATTTTGGTAAATGATATATTTATTTAAAAATTGATAAAATTAACATTCTTAAATAAAAAAATTATAAAGTTGACATCTTTTTTTGCATCTTTACTATCTTTATGGTGATTATTAAATTAGTTATTGTGACATTTCAAATTTTATGTAAGTTTAATATATAAATAATTAACCATTATTAACAATTTAAATAAAAAAAGTTATTAGGTTATATGTTCAAAAAAAAAGTTATTAGGTTATTAACAAATTTGGATTTGAGTCTTTTTGGTTAAGGTCACTAAAATTATCAAATTTTTATTTTAGTTTTATTGATAAAAACAATCAATAACAAATAAAATAGTTAATATTTATTATTTCATATATTAAAATTAATATATAAAATAATTTTTTTTAAATATCTTAATTAATTATTTAAAATTATAATTAAATTAATAATTTTAAGAAAAAAATTTTGTTACAACAACCTCAGTTAGTTACGTAATTTAACAGTAAACTTATTTGTGTTGTCGGTGATATGTATGGTTCAATCACAATTCTTATGTAGTACCCCAAAAAAAAAAAAAAGTGTAATAACATTTTAAAATGTCGCTTATCACCTTTATGGGGATGGTGAGAGGCGAGCCAATAACTCCACTCCCACTCAAAATCATTTTAATTTGCACGTCCTTCACGTGCGAGCGGTTCGGGGGTTTTCACTAAGATTGGTTATAATCTTGACACGTGTTAATAGTGGGTCCTCAATCAATTTTAAACCGTTCAATCAACTTGTCTTTTCAATCTGATTTGCTGGGCGGACCAAATTTTACGGATCCAATATTTGATTAAAGGGAAATGCTTTTTTTTATAATTTTTT